TTTTCCTCCTCATCTGCCTGTATCTGTGTCTGTGTCTGTGTCTGTGTCTGTCGGCGCGGTGCTCGTGTTCTTCCTCGTCTGGTTGGTTTAGCAAGTCGACGACCCTGGCTCTTGTTTGGCCGGGCGTGTTGTTGGTGGTGGTTCTAGCCGACTTGGGTGAGTAAAAACAGCTTGGTGGTACGATAAATGCTTGCACCAACGCAGCCGATGCACATTCATCCGTAGGGTTCCCGTGCCATGAGTGGCCAGTCCAACAACTTGGGAATGAAAGAGGGCCTTGCCTGGAGACTAGACTGGGATACTGAGCGTAAAGCCCTGGCTATGGACGAGCCCTTGGCCGGTGGCCCAGCATCATCTGCGCCAGGGGTCCGGGGAAGGGAAGGGGCGAGGAAGACAGGCGGACAAGAGGAGTTCGGATACAGAGAGGAGAAGGGTCGGAAGGTACAGACAGGACAGGGCTGTGGGAGGGCATTGAGCGAGAAGGGGATGGGATGATGTGGGTTGTGACAAGAGCAACAGCGAGAGTGGAAATGGAATAGGTAGGCAAGTAGGCAGGTAGGTAGGTAGGCAAGGTGACGAGCCGCGACAATGACAGAGTAATGACTGTGACGGACAACCAACAAGACTTGTTGGTAGTTGGAAGACCGACAGCCAACCGTTTAATTAAGACTCGCCGGGAAGCCACCCAGACCGGAGAGCGCCCGTGCTTTGGGTGGAGCCCTATAGATCGATTGAGCCACATCGGCCGTGGTGGACACCAGGGGAGGAGCGCAGGACCGGTGAAGGTACGTACCCCGCAGCTCACCTACTAGGTAGGTAAGGTAGGTAAGGTAGTGTGAGGCCCTCCTGTTACAGTCACTTACCCTACCTACCTACCACTACCTACCTAATACCTTGGCGTCAATACGGATAGTGAGCACCGAGACTCCAGCTGCCTGGTCCTTTTAACCAAGCTGCTGCGCGTGCTGTGGGTAGGGCAGCCTAATGACACCTTAAAGTGACATGCAAGATGCTTGCCTGCGTTACCGCGCCCGTTGCAACTCTCCAGTTTCTCTCACCTCACGTCGCGAACCGGCGAATGACGGGCCGCACTTTAAACTTCGTGGCATCGACCTGGTCTGTCGCTCAAAGTACTCCCGCCGTCTCTGAGCCTGGTGGACCGTATAAATCGTTCACAACCGGGCGGAATACCTACTATGTACGCAGCGAGAGGCAGCGAGAGGAGAACATTATCTCACCTCCGTCTTGCCTGCTTCACCCAATTGGCCGCCAACCGCGCCAGCACGCCCGTTTCCGAGGCTACAACGTTGAGCGTGGGATGCCTGTGGCCAATGACACCGCATTGCTCTCCCCCCCCTTTTTGTGAGATGAGCTGTCTCTGAGCTGCAGTTTCCGAATCTGAGCATCCATAGGGCAGGCCAATCCACGGATGCCATCCAAAAGTCCTGGTCTTGGTCTTTGGGCTGAGGCGGCAGGTCAGAGTTGGGGTCGCAATGGGCCCTTGGTGTGCGGTGCACTGCAGTGCAGCCCAAGGTACAGCGCAGTACATCGGCAGGGCTTCCCAAGTCGGCCGGGCAAACTGTGGAGTCAGTCACCGGGCTTGCCTCTATGTCGTCTCTCTTTCAAACATAAACACACACACACTCTCACACACACTCTCTCTCTCCTTTGCCCATCACCCAGACTCCTCGTCATACTCCTCGTGAGAGGAAGAATGAGGTGGCTAAAACTCCAAGCTAAAACTATTTGATGTCGTCGTTTGTCAAGGTTCCAGGTGAATTAGTTTAGACGCTGTACCTGCCATTTCACGGTGCTATCCCACCCAAATGCTCAAATTAGCACACAGCCCTGCAGAGTAAGCACTGGAGATGCGGATACGACAGATTCCAGGATCATGCTATGGACCTTAAGGCATCGCATCGTATGTGAGCAGTGTCTCAGAAATCCATCACTGGCAGAAACACACACAACTCGACTTCTCGAGGGGCATCTTTCCGCAGATAGGCTAGATAAGATGGGCAGAGTCACGTCCATATCGTCGTGCCGTCATAAGCATATAGGGGCATTCCCATAATCGTCAACACTTCCTGATCCAGGGGCCGTGGAGGAATCGCCGCATGAATGCGGCACAGACAACGTGGTTCCTGGAGGCCGGAATGCCCCTGGAGCAAGAGTACAGATGGGGCAGAGGAATCTGCCTTAAGGCCCGCCATCTTTCCATCTTCACAGCAATCTTACTGTGACTATCATTGCGCTTCCTTCCCTGCCCATCTGCCTGCCTGCCCGCCCATGCGTTCGTACGTAGACTACGTGGTACGGTAGCATAAGATTTGACAGCCTATGGTGCGTGCACACTTTGTATGCGCAAAGTGTTCGCAGTGGCTTTTCTCTCCGCCGTTGGTGCCCGTCTGCCTAGGCCGTTCTCTGGCTGGCTATTTCCAACGGTGTTGACGGTTCGGTCCATACCCCAGTACATTGATCCCAGGCCAGGACCCTTACGGATGCTGCAACGTCGCAAGGTAGGCAGTGGGGGGAACACTGTCACTCCAGCGGCCACCATCCCTCCCATTCAGCCCTCATCTTCGCCTGTTGGAAAGTCAATCTCCATGGAGTTCTCATGCAGCAAGCAAGGGGCATGGTGGTGGTGATGATGGTGGTGATGCAACCAAGAGCGCCCAACAAAGATTGAAGTGTTTTCTGTGCTATTCCTTTTGGTCTTTTGTTCGTGGCCCCCAGAACATGAGCTAGCTGCTGCATCCTCTCAAATTTTCGGTGATTTTTGACTGCAACGATTGGGACGCATCTTGCTTTATCGCGGGTGCATGTAGTTATTAGATGTCTGCGGCCAGACCAGACCAGACCTCATCTTGCAGAGCCTCTGACTTGCATGCTTCCCACTCCTTCGACCGACTCCCGTCTGTGGCGAGGGCATTTATCGCGGCCCTGCCCGTGCCCACCGGCTCGTTTCCTCTGCTCCCTATGCCTTGTCTTGCTTCCATCTGGTTGAGTGAGCATATCCGTCAAGCGCTAGACGCACTAGAATCCAAATAAAACCGGCCCTACGAGACCCTGCGATCTCCCACCCCCAACCAGCCACCGGCGTCTGTATGCCCACGAAGAAATACACTACTGCAGAGCAGGTGTAGAAGACTACGAGAACATCCCTGTACTCCGTCGGCTTCCCAAGGAGCCGGGGCAGGGGTATTCCTGAAGCGAGACCGCAGTCGGGCGTAACCTGCGCCATGGTGGGCTGGAAATGGGGACTTTGGCAAAGTAAAAAAGTACTGTGCTTTTGCTCATTCCCCGTTGTTGGTGCAGGTGTACACTATCACTCCGCAGTGTACCTCTTTATCCGAACTCGCGAACCAAGTGTCTGGAGCCCGTCGGTCAGTCGGTGCTCAACCGTTCCTCGGGCAGGCAGGCGGTCCCGCTCGTCCCATGGTCTGTTTCTTTACTTTCTTGCTTTCTACGTCAAGATAGCTGCGATGAGATGGGACGGTCCCGCCTGTGTACTTGTGCGCGTACATGTGCCAAAGGCGCGCTCGCATCAGTCACACCGGGATTTTCCAAGCCAGGCCATCTGATTAAGTGCTAACTACCGCGAAGGATTACTCGGTCACAGGCCTGTAGAACATCCATTTGCAGACGGTGATTGTGTGCTAATTCATCGCTGCAGGCCCATCCCAGCGCAGTGAGTCTACTTACTACCTAGCAGTACCTATTATTTCCCCGCGGCGGCCGCCCTTAGACCCGGCCTCCGATTCGCTAATTAGTCGGCGGATCAATCCCGCGCAGTCCTTGTAGGCGCCACCAACTTGTCGACTTATTGGCTGTCATAGGCGAGTCGTCAAGGCAGAGCATAGCATCAGAAAAATGAACTCAATCGAGAGACTGCCTCGCGGGCTGTGAATGCTGTGAAATCAGTAAACGAGGCCCGGCAGCGCGTGATGCAGCGAGATTCAAGAGTGTCGATGGCCAGGACATACCAAAGGCAATGACGGAGCACTCACTTGATTCTCCTGATCTTTGAATAACCCTTGACTGGCTCGGTTTTGGCCTCGGCCTCTCTCATCTTATGCCTCCATTTGTAGTCCGTTTATGCGGTAAGCATACCTCGCTCGTATACTTCGTCACCAATCTTGCCTGAAGACTGGGAGATATGTAACGTCGTGGACTACAGATTGTCTGGAACATTTAGGGACTCGCAAGGCGAAGAAAAGATATGGCTGGCAAGGTTTCCGTGTGTTGCTTCCAACGGGCCCGACGGCCCCCGTTGCATGTGCGTGTATATTGGTGCCTTGGGTTGGCAGACGTAGGTCATCTGCAACTTGCTGGATTATCAACTTAGATGGCTCCTCCTGCCGGGATGATTTACAAAATTGGAATTCGGGCAAACGATGGGATTCGAAGAGAATCATTGCCCTTATGCGCACCTAGCCGGTCTATTTCTGAAAGATCAGCCATCAATAGTTGGACCTCTTCTCGCCGAGGTCAGCGCGCTTCACACCGAGAATCGTAAAGGTGAAGGTGATGGTCACCGAAGGTCACGTGAAACCGCGACGCTTTGGCTCCACAGCTACCCCTGCCTTTGAAAGCTCCCCCTGCCTATTCAAAGGCAAGAGCTGTCTCACGTCACCGATTTTCAGGCACAGCACAGCAACGCGCATCACATTTTTCCATCGTCGCGAATCGCGACATGCAGAAGACTGGCTAGAATAGCTGATACTGATTCACCTAGATGCATGCAGTATCTGATTGCTTGAATACAGCAAACCTGCCCAAATTTCTGCTTTTCTTGCCTCTATCGCGGTGGGCCTTTCGCTCAACCTCGACCAACCACCAAAGTCCACCGCAACTTCCACACCTGGCGAGCCTCTCACATCGTCACCCATATCCTTCCCTCATCTTTGACAACCGTCCCTTACAAATTTCCAAGTCTCAAACAGAGCTCATCGAAGTGTAGCTGATCGGCGGGCTTTGGGCCCCTTATCGCCTTCACAATGAAGTTCTTCATCGAGTAAGCCTTGGTCGACCTTCCACGGTCCTCAAAGCCCACAACTAACATCGCCTTCCCAGTGATCTGCCGATTCTTTTCCCCTACCCTAGGATATATCCTGAGCAGTATGCGTAAGTCACCACGCTCCGCAACCTGAGCCCGATGAGTGCTGACTTCGTCGGTGTTTAGCTATATGTGCGACCTCAAGAGTGTGTTCGCTAGACATTGCCCCTCGAATATCAAACGTCTTACTGACTAGTTAATTCATCCACTAGAGACTCTGGACGCGGGTGGTCACTGCGTCCTAGAGATGCCTTCAGGAACAGGAAAGACGGTATCGCTGCTCTCACTTATTGTGGCCTATCAACAACATAACCCAGAGCATCGCAAGCTCATCTACTGCTCACGTATGTCTGAATCCTCCAGAAGCTTTGACTATATCTAACCATATCAGGTACCATGTCTGAGATCGAAAAGGCCCTCGCAGAGTTGAAAGCTCTCATGAAGTACCGCGCTCAAGAGCTTGGAGAGGAGGAAGAGTTCAGAGGCCTCGGGCTGACAAGTCGAAAGAACCTGTGTCTTCACCCGTCAGTCAAGCAGGAAAAGAGTGGTGCCATCGTCGACGCTCGTTGCCGAAGCCTCACGGCTGGATTTGTCAAGGAGAAAAAGGATCGAGGCGAGAATGTCGACCTATGCGTTTACCATGATGTGGGTATTGCTTCAGTCGTGGCTTCTCATTTGGCTAAAGATTCGACATAGAACCTGGATCTCCTCGAGCCGCACAATCTCATTCCAAACGGAGTTTGGACCTTTGAGGGCCTTCTGAGATACGGCGAACAGCACAAGCAGTGTCCATATTTCACTGCAAGACGCATGGTAAGGATTGAAAGATCACTTTGTTGTTTCTTGTGCTGAGCACGAACAGATGCAATTTTGCAACGTCATCATCTACTCTTACCACTATTTACTTGATCCCAAGATCGCAGAGAGAGTATCGAAAGAGCTCTCAAAAGACTGCATCGTCGTCTTTGACGAAGCCCACAATATTGACAACGTCTGCATCGAGTCCCTAAGCACAGATATCACCGAGGACTCTCTACGAAAAGCAACAAGGGGCGCACAGAACTTGGAGAAGAAGATCTCGGAGATGAGAGACACCGACCAGGAGCAGTTGCAGAATGAATACCAGAAGCTTGTGGAAGGGTTGCGGGATGCCGACGAAGCGCGACAGGAGGACGCATTCATGGCCAACCCAGGTATACGATGCCCCGATTTCCCGCTTCCTTATCGTTCACTGACAGTCAGCAGCCTTGCCAGACGACTTGCTGAAGGAGGCGGTACCAGGCAACATCAGAAGGGCCGAACATTTCGTGTCTTTTCTGAAGAGGTTCATCGAGTATCTCAAGGTGAGCAACTCTGACAGAAACAGAAAGCCGGATGTTAACGACATACCAGACACGGATGAAGGTCAGACACACCATTTCAGAGACACCTCCGTCTTTCCTTGCTCATTTGAGGGAGTACACCTTCATTGAGAAGAAGCCTCTGCGATTTTGTGCCGAACGGTTGACGTCCTTGGTGAGGACTCTCGAGCTCACGAATATTGAAGACTACCAGCCTTTGCAAGAGGTAGCTACCTTCGCGACGCTGGTAGCAACATACGAGAAGGGGTTTCTCCTGATCCTAGAACCATTCGAGTCGGAGACAGCAGAGGTGCCAAACCCTGTCTTGCACTTCACTTGTTTGGACGCCGCAATCGCAATCCGACCCGTTTTTGACAGGTTCAGTTCTGTCATCATCACTTCAGGAACGATCTCCCCTCTTGAGATGTACCCGAAGATGCTTGGCTTCTCGACCGTGGTACAGGAGTCATACAGCATGACGTTGGCGCGAAGGTCGTTCTTGCCCATGATTGTGACACGTGGAAGTGACCAAGCGAGTGTTTCCACGAGTTTCCAGGTCAGGAACGAGCCTAGCGTGGTGCGAAACTACGGCACGCTGCTAACCGAGTTTGCCAAAATCACACCGGATGGCATGGTGGTTTTCTTCCCCTCCTATCTTTACATGGAGTCCATCATCAGCATGTGGCAGGGAATGAACATCCTCGAAGAGGTCTGGAAGTACAAACTCATCCTCGTCGAGACACCCGATGCGCAGGAAACCTCGCTGGCGCTGGAAACGTACCGAACGGCGTGCTGCAACGGCCGCGGCGCCGTTCTCCTGTGTGTCGCTCGAGGCAAGGTCTCTGAGGGTATCGATTTCGACCACCAATACGGCCGTACTGTGTTGTGCATCGGCGTGCCATTCCAGTACACTGAGTCCCGAATCCTCAAGGCGAGACTCGAGTTCCTTCGCGAGACGTACCGCATCCGTGAGAACGACTTCCTGTCATTCGACGCCATGCGACACGCTGCCCAGTGTCTGGGTCGTGTTTTGAGAGGCAAGGACGACTACGGTATCATGGTACTGGCCGACCGCAGATTCCAAAAGAAGCGAGTGCAGCTGCCCAAATGGATCAACCAAGGTCTTCTCGACGCCGACACCAACCTCAGCACCGACATGGCTGTGAGCAGCGCTCGCCGCTTCCTCAAGCAGATGGCTCAACCGTTCCGGGCTAAGGACCAGGAGGGTGTGAGCACATGGAGCTACAACGATTTGATGAAGCACAAGGAGAAGATGGACATGGAACGGATCCAACAGCTTGAAGCTGCCGGGGTTGATAGCATGCAGTTGGGAGCTGACGAGGGCGACGAATACGGCATGGACGATGACCTTGACCAGGACATGATGGAGATCGACGATGGATTCTGAGGTTCTCGATGAACCAGCTCATTGACTGCAGCTGGTACCTTAGCTGGAGCCCGTCAGCGTCTGGATGAGAAGCGAAAACGGCCATGTACATTAAATGTTTTGTCTGATAGAGACCTTAATCTGGTGCTTCATCCACGATCCAGTCGCACTGTCTACGCATCATGCGAGAATGACTTTGTGTCACGACTCTGCGTCTATGTTTGATTCTTGTAAACCTCATTTCAAATCGTCCGCCCATCCGTCCGGCATAAGTCACCTAGTTAACGATGATCCTTTTGGTTGCCTTCTGAGCCCTCATGGCGGGAATCGTGTTTTGTCTCCCAGGCTTCCTCCCAACCTCCATGCACAGCATACGAATGAAATCCTGGCTCGTCCAGTAGCACGTATGGGCGCTCAGCATATTGAGGTACTGGATCTCCAGAGGCCCACCGCCATATCTGAGATAGTAATCAATTTGGCCATTGTCGTTCAACAAGTACGCCTTTCTCTCTGCAATCTCCTCACGCGTGAAATCGTGTACCTCCAACTCGAGCTGCGATGGCAAACGCACGACGGAGGGCTTGGGCGTGACCTCTGGCTCGATAGTCGCGGGGCTTGGGGTTGCGCCTGGCACAAGACTTCGCATGGCGTTGCCAACGTACTTGAAGATGGAACTGGTGGTCGAGGGAACATGAGCCGTCTTGAGACTTGAAGCATATACCGGGTCTATTGTGCCGTTGAGTAGGTAGGCGATTGGGTCCTCCTTAGCCAGCACGTTGTAGATGTTGTCTACCGCAATGCACCCGAACCGGCCAACTTGTCCCGTAACATCCGGTGCGTGTATATCGCTCGGATCAGCGCCAGGTTTGACCCGGCCACGTCGAGGTTGGAGCATGCCTCTCTCGAGAAGCAGGAAGAATCCGGCCGGGCTTCCGACGAGGAACAAGTTGTTGGTGTCAAACTCGAAGAAATCAGCTCCGGGCAATTTGATGGACATGTCCAGTCTAGGAACTTGTGTGGGTTGTCGGGACAAGATGTCAATCGCCATGGCACTGCCAAGAGAATGCCCGATTAGATGGACACGCCCCTTCTCAGCAAAACCAGGGTTGTTGCGACACCACAGCCGGTATACGCGGTTGGCCTCCGTAACAAGCGCCTTGATCATTTTGCCCTTGTGATGGGACATGTAGAATGGAATATCGAACATGACATCAGAGATCATGCTTCTCACGGCCGGGATGCTGCCAGGTTCGATGTCCTTGAGGCTGAATCCATCAGGCACGTGGGTTGCCTTGTCCTCCTCCGTCATCGGACCACCGTCTTCAAATGACAAAGTGTGGCGCCAGTTTATCGGAAGTACCATGATTCCGTTCTGGTCGTCTCTCAAGACTCCCTTAACCACGGGATTGCACAGTTCCATATTGACTTCCCGGCGAAATGCGTTGATGGCGTGCGTGAAGTGAAAGCTTTCGACTCGCTCAGCAAACTTCTGACCTATGCCATGTACAACCATCACAAGGTCGGTAACCTGGCCCTGCTCCTTTTCTGCCTTACAAGCTGGACATAAAACGTCCTGCCCGACGCTTTCAGCAGAGTCGCTCGTAGAAGATTCTGACTGAGAATTTGTGTCGCGCCTACCCTTCTTGTCGTGGATGCGTTCCCACGTCTCCCGATCAAAGCCACGAACTACAGGGATGCCGATAGTCATTCCCTTCATAATCTTGGCTACTGGCCGTCTCCCATAGTAGGCCGATGGTTTTAAACTGGGTTTCAAGAGGAAGGCTCGGGAAGCGTCTTTATAAATGACGTGGTAGCTGGCATTGCTTCGATGCGGCATCGTGCTGGAAGACTTTGGAGTTGGATCGACGGATCCTTCAGCCGCAGCTTCTCCACGATAGCAGCTAGCAGCACAGAACGGATCTGTTGAAATTCGGGGGTCTGAGACGGTCTGCTTGTCGCCATCGCTCATATTTTCCACATCTTCCGGCCAGAGACGATGCGACACTTTTTCTTCGCCGAGCGGACCAACTTCAATCGCACAGCGAAGCTCATCGCTCCAGGTCTCAGTATGCGGTTGCAGCTCTCGGTATCCAGCTTCTAGTTGATTCGCTACTGCTGGCGGAATCGGAAGCATTGTATCTCTAGGATCGCTGTCAGACCCAACCCACAACCACTCATATCTTGATTAACATTCACGAACCTGTAGAACCATGTAGCACGGAGTACCACGGCGATGTCATTCACAGGGGACCAGTAAATCGGTTTCATCTGTAGAGCAGGAATGGACACCATGTGAAGCCTAGATACGCCAACGACGACGTCAATGGCTTCTCTTCTGTAGCTCGCGTCGCTCATTGTGGCGATTTGTACTGTACTTGCCCTCGGCCTCGTTGGTTCTTGTGCTTTGGGCGGAGTTCGCATTTCGCGTTCATCTCCATTGGCACTAGGAGTCTCGATAGGGGGGAATGAATTAGCAAAGGCGTCTTGTGGTCTTTGCCTTATTCCCGCTCTGACGAAAGGCTTCCCGGATATCCCATCATCCACAGACGGCCGGAATGAGGTACTCGTGCCGGGGGTCGATGGGCGAGACGCTTGCTCACTCGCGCGCGAATCAGATCTTGGTCTCGCTTTGGTGTCGGCTCCATATGTGATCCCGTCCTTTTGAGAACGAGATAATTCATTGGCGGCTTCACGGCGCGGGCTGAAAGAGCCCACAATTCCCATTTGTCTTGAGCGCGCCGAATCTGCCCTAGGCCTCGAGGAGGGAACGCTCCCGGCTGTTGACCGGGAGTCATCGGCGGCTGGATTTGTACTAAGTTGGCGTCGCAGTTCCATCATGACCTCTTGAACCACATTGTCCTGGCCCAGAGAGGGTTGTTGTTTTCTCGCAAGGGCACAAAATGTGTTTTGCAGTTCGGTGGACACGTCAATAAAAAGGTCGGGACAGCAAACTGTAGCTGGAGTGTCGGAGAGGATATCCGAGTCTTCGCCTGCGACTAAGGATGCCTGAAATATCCCCCCATGCTTTCGGCCATGTTTTGCGGCCAGGTGCCGAACCAGAAGCTCTAGCTTTTTTATGTTCGCCTTCTCAACATCAGGACTCAGGGTGCCATTCCGTACTAAATGCTCATGAGCTTTTACGTTATCCTCGGAGAGGAAACTGAGCCAAGCCTTCTCCAGAGCGTTGTTGTCGCCTAACGAAAAGGGACGGATTTGACCTCGAGTAGTCCGCGCATCGGACGCACCAGCGATCGTGCCAGGCGACAAGGGGTCGTCTATTGGCATCAACGACGAGTAGAAGAATTGCGCGGGAACAAGGGGCACACCGTTGTCCTGCCCGGTCGGGGTCGGGTGCGCCACAGGAGTAAGGCGACACTTGGGGCCGTACGTGTGTACTTGTGCCGGGGCAGACATCATGGTTTCTCCTTAGTCAAGCAGGCAGTGTCTGTCTGTTACGTGTTTTGGTCTGACGGTGGCGGGAGTCGATCGCTGCGGACGAGCAAGAGCAACAGGCAGCCAGGTGAGCAAGAGCGGATTTTGTGGCTTCGAGAGGAGTGTTTGTCGTGGAGTCGGGCCTCTATCATGAACGGCTTTCAGCAAGCCGGACAAGCAAGATGGACTTGATCATGTTTTGCGAGTCGTCAAGAGGGATTGCAGGATCGGGGTCGCGAGAAGACCTCTTTGAGGTGGAGATGGTAGAGTGTGTCTGTGAAACCAAGTCGGTATTAGCAACCTAAGTCACACGGGCGGATGAAAGGGCTACGCATGCCGAAGAAGACGGAAGAACAGCGACTGATATGTAAAGCCTGCCTGATGACATTAGCTGTACGCGCAAGACGGCATTAGGTCCGAACGGTGTCTCAAGTTGGCAGGGCGAGACCAGAGCTCTGCATGAGATGCGCTTGTTGCCTTATCGCTAGATCAGGTACCAAGAAAGGAATTGCGCAGGCACGCATTAAACGCGGACCAAATAGTCCAAAGTGCCGGGTTAAAAAAAAAACAAAAAAACAAAGGAAGGTCCGCTGTTTGCACATGGGTGCCTTATGTAAGGCAGATGATGTGCTCCAGATTCAACAGAACTTTGAGGGCGAGCGAAGCACGCTGGTCAGTGCATGGGCGTAGCTGAATCTACGATTGTTATCGAGCGATTGTCAATGACGTATGTACCAGAGCTCATGTACTAAGATGCCTGCCTACCTACCTTACCCAGTACGTCCGCGTGTGGGAGCGGACCAGCCACATGAGGCACAGAGCGGGAATGGAAGTCTGTAACGGTGGCTGAGGTGATAGGACTCGGCATGGGCCTCAGACACACTGCCCCGTAGGTAGGTAGGTACGGTACCGGAGCTGCCCGCAAGACTGTACCTAAGGTACACGCTCATACACTTACGCATTAGGGACCCTCTACCCCGCCCCCGCCTTTCAGCGGGACGTGAATTGAAGGGAATGTGCTTTCCACTCTCAACTCTCGGCAGACAAATAATACAAACACTTTGAGATGCTGGAGGGCGTGAGGGCTTAGTTGTTTGTGGGCATGATGTAGAGTATCCGCCGCTAATAACTTCATCTAGGAGGGCATGCAACGCAGACGCAAGACTCCGCCCTGTCCTGTCGCTCTCTGGCCCATGGGCTGCAGAACCGGATGTATGTTTGGTTACACGATTCTCAAATATACATAGCTTGCGATCTTTGAAGCTGGAAATAGCTGCAACACGCACTATATTGATTGATATTCGCTTGAGAGTTGGAGAACTTCCTAGAAAATTGATACAGGGCGCATGTAAACAAGGTAATCTCGGGTGCGTGGAATTCGTCCTCGTTGCTCAAGATATCATGTAAAGGCAGATGTTGGGAACAAGCAGATCTGACGTGGAGTGGACGGGTCTGGAAACTGCCCCTGGGGGGGCGCTTGTCGTCGGGGAATATCAAGAACCGAGATCCATAGAGCCGGATCCCTGACCGGACCCTTTCTTTCTACCTACCTTAGGTTTACTTTGTATCCGTAAGGTAGCTAGGCCATGTCCACAGGTGCATCTGCTGGGAGCAACTGTTGCGGATGTGATGCGGCAACGATAGACCTTGACGCGGTGCCGTGTGCAGACAAGGGTTCGTGCTGGAGGAAAAGAATCCAACTACACCCATCGCAAACAGGGCCAATGTACTATGCAGCACATAGTTATCTTACTGCGAGTTTTGTAGGGAGCCATTCGCACGCGGCGGAATGATTGTGGGGGCGCGTGGTTGTGGAGCGGGAAGGGAACGCTTCCATATGGTCGTCAACTGACGTCCCCCATTCCAACCACTGTTCACTTGCGCCCCCAAAGTCCTCGTACTGCATGGTAGACGCTTGCTTCGAAAATGGCAGCGCAGTAAGGTGCAGACGACATATAAGTCCAGATGCAAGTGCAAATGCTGAGTCTCTGCTGCCACTCGTCTTGTTTCAAGGTCGGCAGACAGGCAGGGATGAATAGCCTTTTGAAGTTGTGAATGGGCGGGCGATCCACCAAACCCCGCTTGAACCGTGCTCAAGCCGTGTGGTTTGGCACCGTGATCTACCTCTCTACCTTCTTACCTACTATTGTGCTCGTTTTGCCAATTGCCCATCTGTCCGCTCACCCAACACGTCGGGGCTTGAGCAGTCAAACAGTTCATTGCCTAAATACGGCTACCTCAAGAGGTAAGATAGGTAGGTAGGTAGGTAGGTATGAATGGACTGTCACCTCACCCCACGCTTCACTTTTTTTTGGAGAGGACTGGGGCCACCACTGGATGGATGCGGATGCAGCACCTACCTACAGCACTGAGTGTACCTGGTGCTGTGTCCGTGGTGCTAGCGCCGACGCCCGTCCCCACCTGGATTGTGGCACAAACTGCAACCCCAGTACGGTAGCCAGTAGTGTACACTACCTTACGGATACACTAGGTAGGTCTCCATGCGTCCGTCCTGCTCCCCGTCGTCACTCGCCCGTCTCCTCTTGGGTCGCCTAGGTTTGCCCCGGCATCTCCCTGTCTTGTCCTGACCAGTGTTGGTCCACTATGGTGTTATCTTGGCTGATCTTGCGACACACGATGCCGTGCGGCGCTGCCCATCCGCCTTGGTCACGAAATATGGCAGGCGGAAAGGCAATGGTAGAACTACCTGAGGTGCCTAGTATGATGGCAAAAGTGGCAGCAGCAGCAGCAGCAGCAGCAGCAGCAGCGATCAGCAGAGAAAGCGCTGCCTCTGTATTTCCCAACCAGGCAGCGTATCGCGTGCCCGCCCCTCGACCACGCACACTGTACGTCTTGTACGCCCGAGTCTCCCGCTGTCGCCGTCGTCTGTTGTTTGTATGAAGCCATGAAGCAATGCTTCTCAGTTGAGGGTTGGTGATGGGGGAGCCCAGACCAGATCGGCACTAGAGATGGGCGACCCCAGGTCTCCAGTGGCGCGCCACGCCATTCCCCATTGCTGCGTGCTCTACATGAGGTAGTACCTAGGTTACCTTCCAGAGCTAAGGTAGCTAAGGTACCTCAGGTGCAACGTGTACCTCCAGGAGACATGAGTGCTTAACATGGGCCATGTGCCGCGTCTTGAAAACCATCCCACAGGAGCTGTTGGTGACGCTACCGTTCGCAGTAGCTCAGAAGATGCTGTAACCGTGCTCCTCCAATTCCAACCCACCCACCCTTCTTCAGTCCTTCTCTTGCCTTTCTCCTCCCTACTACTTCACCAAGGTAACGAAGGTACAACCCTCACCCTCACCCTCCCATTCATTCAGCCATTCTGTTGGCCTGTCCTGTCCTGCATGGCTGTCTTTCCCTCCCTCGTTCCCTCCCTGCCTTACTAGGTACGGGTAGGCTTAGGCTGGGTCTTGGTCCTGTCCTTGGTGGCGGTAGTCTCTCGCGCATCCATGTCGAATTGACGGTACTGCGTACGGTACGGTGTTGTACCTCACCAATCGCAATCACCTGCCATACTGTGCGCTGTGCTCCTTCCCTTCTCCTCATCTTCTCCTCGTTGACCTTCTTCTTCGCCTACCTTATGCAGAGTTAAATTCTTCTGCTAAACGCTGCTGCTTGACACTCTCCATCATATCATACGCCTTTCTACTCCCTTTCCACCGCCAGTCTTAATGAGGCCGTCTTTGCACTAGCCGTCCCTCGTCGTTGGTATTGGCTGTACAGAGTATCTTTGCCGTCTGCCGACGATAAATCTCCACCGCCGGGCGCCGCTTCTGCCGTTGACGTTATCACCGTTGCAGCAAGATAACTCGTCTGCCTTCCTACCTTTCGCAGCCCATCACCGCAGCTCCCCAGATACCCCTCGCCGCCTATCACGAACCGAGCTGGCGTTGCTGCTACCGTTATTGCTTTTGGGCATGTGCGATAAGGATCGCCCGCCACCCCCAGCCGACGCCAACACGCCAAACCCAGTCCATTCGAGTGCGTACTCTATTCATTACCACTCACTACCTCTTCCCGACCCAGGCTTTCGCTGTGACAAACCCTCTTCTCTCACACACGCCGCTTTTCACCCAGTACGAGGCGCGATTGGCATCGTCTTCCATCTCTAAATCGCCTTGAAGCCAGCCCGTAGACAGTGTCGTCCGAGGCAGAAGCTCCAGGACGACAACCGTCTGAGTCTACGGATACTGTCGAGCGACCTCGTAGTGGTTTAGCTGCAACACCAGCTCACTACCTTCTACTCCCGCCCCGACCACCGACCAACGACCCCAACACAACATCGACCACCCCCTATTACCGCTGATAAGCTGCCAACCCCGACGTCGAGTCAACTGTTCAACACATCTCACGTTAATTGCGACTTCCAGTCCGTCGCAATAAGAAAGTTCGCCTTTGAAAAATGGCCACAATTGCTCTCCCGAGGCCTATACCCCCTCATCGCCCTTCGTCTGCAGTGGGCTCCGTCTCGTCCATATCGCTCGAGTCCATCGGCGCAGCCCAAGTCCCAGTACCAAACAAGCATCTTCCTGTCTGCCCTCCGGGGCCAGTTCCAGCGGAGGAGCCCAACACTCCTCCTCCCTCTCCCCCACGCGATGAGGAACAGGCTCAACAATCATCGCTGCTCTATCCTCCTGACAAGTTCAATAGACAAGATTCCGCACCATTGACCTTGTACACGATAAGCCCCGCAGACGTCGCTGCTGCCGTTGACTACGTCTCCCGCCAGCCGTTACCGGATCCGAATCAAGTCTTCCCCTGGTTCCACGGGCTCCACCCCCACAACCATATCCAGCAAGCTTTCTTCATTGCCCGTCATCGCTCCCTGAGGAAAACGCCCACATGTGTGCGCGGCGTCACTCTCGTCAAAGCCGACGGTGATGTTGCCGTGGCACGTCTCAAGGGCGCCATCGCCCCTCAAGAGTTCATGTATTTGGGCGCCTCTCCCGAATTCATTGACATCGACCCACGCGACGGTTTCTGTGTAAGAAACTTCCAGATCCAGGCAGCCAAGTCGGCCATGATGTCCGACATCATCGTCTATGGAGAGGACGAAGCCACTGTGCAGAGGACCGGACTGGATATTGCTACAGCTCAATCACGGTGGCGCCAAAAACACGAGGCACAGGGCCACCCACTGCCAGCGTACAACACATTTCTCTGCGTTTCCCCCTTCAGCGAATTCGAAACGAAGCACAAGGACATCGTTGCCATCGATCACCAGGGTGAATTGACGGGAAATGTTCTCGACTTCTTCCAGCAGGAGAGGAAAGAGATGTACGAAATGACCAAGGCCTCAGAGATATCCCACAATGTTTGGCTAGGCCCAACACCAGATCCCACTTCTGGAGAAGAGTACAAGTACGACGTTTTGATCGAGTGCAGCGATGTTGGTCGTTTGAACCCGTCGACACTACGCGCTCTAGCCGAGTCCAAGATCAAGCCAGCCGTGCGCCCGTACATTGACTTTCCATCCTCTGGCAGCATTCTGCCACCGACTTGGTCACAAGTTGAAGCCGACGGCATTCTAGAAACCTGCAAATGGATATATCACTTGGCACACGGCACCCTACCACCCTCTGAACAGTCCAGCTTTGACTTTGACGGAGATGTAGGAATGGACGAACCAGCGGAAGGTGAGGAGCCTGTAGGTTCTCATCCCATGAAGATACTTATTCACTGTGCCGACGGATACACTGAATCTACGATGCTGGGGATCGCCTATTTCAGCTACAGCACTGGACGAGGTATTGCTGATGCCTGGCTACACTTGCACACAGTCAAGCAACGCAACTTCTTTGCATATCCAACCGATGTGGCTCTTTTGACGTGCATTGAAGCTCGTCTACTCCATGAGTCGCCAGTTCATGCTGGAAAGGGATTACGCGAGGTGACAGCCCTGATCAAGGAGCCTGCGTGGCTGCCTGGTCTCGATGGTTCTCTGCCCAGCCGGGTGCTGGACTACATGTACCTCGGAAACCTCGGGCACGCCAACAACCCGGATTTGCTCAGGGCTCTCGGAATTGGCCAGATTCTCAGCGTGGGTGAGACTTCAATGTGGAGAGAAGGCGAGTTGGAGGAATGGGGCCCAGAGAATGTATGCGTGGTCCAGGGCGTTCAAGACAACGGCATTGATCCGTTGACTGATGAGTTCGAGCGGTGCCTCGAATTCATTGGTGAGTTTTACCAGTCTCGGAGTGTTGAGAAGTTTCTAAATGTGCTCCTAGACCACGGCCGGCGCAGCGGAACAGCCACATTGGTACACTGTAGGGTTGGTGTATCCCGCAGTGCCACCATCTGTATTGCGGAAGTGATGCGGGCCATGAACCTATCGTTTCCCCGGGCGTATTGCTTCGTCCGAGCCCGCCGACTCAATGTCATCATCCAGCCTCACCTACGATTCGCATACGAGCTCCTAAAGTGGGAAGAGCTGAACCAGGTCAAGCAGTGCGGACCTGCTGGGATCAAACGGGAATTAGAGTGGGGAGAGATTGCCAGGGAGATTGCCCTGATGAACAGACCTTACGCTCGATAATGTGTCCTCGTGGATCGTTGGATGTTACTCAATTCTTTGGTTCTTCTATCCTTGGTAAGGATTTCTGGGAGTTCTATGAGGTGTTTGGCCCGGGTTTTTGCTTTCATTTTCATCTTTTTTTCCCTCTTTTCAAAATGGCATGACGGATGCACGGAGACAGGCGTCTATAACTGTCTTGCCATGGCAGGATTTGTTGGAGATGGTAGTTTCTTCCGATGGGTCATGGTTCGCGCGGCACTGTTGTTCCAAATGGTCGGCGTTGTTGATTTCACGCTCCCCCCCCCCTTTCTTCTTCTCTCCCCCCTCCCCCCCCCCCTTTTTGCGACCGCTCGTTGGGGTCTTGTGGTGACGGAGGGCGTATGACTTTCTTAGCCATCTCCAATGTTCTCGGTCTTGTTATTGCACAATCGTTGGGGACGAGTATTTAAAAGGGTTCAGCCACGGTCGGTGGCAACGGGTGATGATGCCACGATTTACTCAGCTAAGCCTGCTGATCGAGAACCTATACTTCCCGATGAGCAGAGATACGACTGCTGATAATCCATATACTATGAACAAGTTTTCGCGCTATCGTGCGCTACCGCACACCAACTATTTCATGTTCGGAAGTTGCTCGTCTTCGGGTATCGTGATTTCACAACAGCGTCCGTTCCTGAGTCTTTCATGTGGCCAACCATGTGCAAGCGCAGAAATGGGTTTTTATGAATTAGCGGCCTCGTAATGACCAAGCGGCAAGCAGTGTTCGCTTCATATTACATCAAGAATGCAAGGTGCTGGAGCCTCCTAGTCACCCCTAGGAAGAAAGTATGTAGCCAAACGCCTCCGAATGCAGCTGTCTTCTTCCGATATCAACAATGCGCAGAGCGCACGCGTTGAGGCCTGACCCCGATAACTCCCGTCGCCCACAGCGGAACTACTACGAAAAAAAAGACTACGTGCCGTAGGCCGACGAGTCCAATTTGTCGTCGCCGTCAAGAACCCTACAAATTATGCTTCGTTAGCTCTCGTCCGGGAACAATATGGACGAAGACTTACGAGAACTGCTTGACCAGGTAGCCCTCACCGCCGTGCTCCATATCGATATTGTAAACGTAAAAGCCTCCGTCGCTGGTCACAACCATCACTTGCGGGCTACTACTGCTCATGGCTACAACGCTCCTCAGCGGGCCGTTGGGAAGCTGTGACCCGCCTGAGAGCCCGCCGCCTCGAGTCGATGCTGTCGGCGAATTCGAAGACTTCGGGATCTTAATGTAGGCAAAGTCGCGAAGGGGCTCCCACATTTCCGTCACTGTCTGAGGCAGGTAAGAGCCAACGACACCGGCCACGCTACGACCCATTATCTGTGACGACCGTCGGAGTATGCTGCTGAATGAGCCACTTTGCCGCCGATTTATCTGCTGCTGGCTGCCACCGCCCCCATTGCTAGGTCCGACCGGCTCAACTAGGTCGCTTCTAGGGGACCCTGCTGCGCTGCCTGCAGGTGATTCATTACTGCTGTCGTAACTCCTGGATCGCGACCATCGATCCTGCCTCGGCGACCCGGGTGTTTCTGCAGCAGCCGAAGCCGAGTTGTTTCCTGGGGGAGGAGCACCGATACGAAATATATGAACGGTATCGGATGTCGAAGAAACGCACAGCAACGTCGAGCTGAGATTGAAAGACATGCTGTAGATTGTGGATGGGTAAGTTCCACGGCGGAACTGGTACAGCTTCTGTCCTCCGGGGACAGAGAACACACGGATGATGGTGCCGGTCTCACTAGCAGTGGCAAGCAGTGTGCCCTCGCTGTTCAACGAGATGCTACAGAGAGGTGATCTATGGGCCTCGATAACGTTAACAGCTTTGAGGGTAATTGTATCGAATACTAGGACCTCCCCTGATGTAGGAGCAACGTAGGTCGAGAGGGGTGGGGCATGAGCCGGTCTCTTGTCTCCGTTATCCTCGCGGGGCTTTGGCAGCGGATATGCAATGTAGCAATTTTCCGAGGATGGTGACAGGGCACAGATGGCGCCTGGGTTCGGCGAAGTAGGGATTGTATAGAGTAGGCTCATGTTGGAAATGTCGTAGAGATAGATTTCAGACTCAAGCACGACTGCGAGACGTTTGCGATTCAGGCGGACGGCAAGAACGGCGGAGGGAAAGGTAAGCTCGCATATGACTGAAGACCTCTTTCTCAGAGTTAGTATTCTGGCAGAACAGGAACGAAAGACGACCAACTTTGGTGTTCTGTATGATCAAGTGTCGTGGAGAAAGGATCAGCGCAACCAGTGAGGTCGAGAACAGCATCTCGATAATGGCAATATTCCCGTCATCGCTGCTGAAGATTTTTGAAAAGGGATCGGTGTGGTAGATGCGGAAACCTTTTGATGTGCCTATGTGGGCGAGGCAGCCAGTCAGTGAAAGATGTTCAGCAACCAAATGGGGACCGCGGGTGCGGTGGCGGGGAACCCGTTACCGACTGCGAGACAGCTATGGTCCTGATTGAAAGTAATGAAATTAAGGGAAGCGTTCGCCATGGTGTACGACCGAAGCCGGGGCCTTCGGCAGGATGTATGCGCCGTGATGCGACGGACACCGAAGATGCACTATCGCCGGGACAGCGCCGGCGGTGGGAAACTACCAGACGGAGATGATGTTTAGTCGACGACGGCGGTTCGAGGAGCCGAAGAGTTTTGTATTTCGCCAGTCACAGCGATGATAGAAGTCCAGTATCTCGACCGAAGACTGAGGAAGGTAGGAAGATTTGCTGTCGAAGGCAGCAGCGCAAATTGGTAGTCGCCAGGAGGCTGGAGTGCTTTGGTGTTGGTCGGTGGACGGTGGTCGGCGGTCGGGTCAAGGTTCGGACAAAGCCAAACCGTCAAGCCTTTGATGAGCTGGTGATTGTCGGGATAAGCTGAGGTTTCGCTGCAGCGCCCGGCAGCGGAGCACCTTTTAACTTGAGGTACCTTAGAGGAAAAGTGACGATAGATGTGGAGGGTGAGATATCGAGTCTGGACGGTACCGGCAAGGTAAGGTAAGGTAAGGTAAGGTGAGGTAAGGTGAGGTCCGGACACTGAACGTGAACCTGGTGGCCCCCAATGGCAAGGTGGACTGGAACCCTGGCAGCGGGGAAGCTATGTAATCCGTCGGCCGGGTGGTCCCAGCGCCTGGATGGTAGTACCTAGGTACCTTGCGCTGAACATGGGGTGCGTTTGTGGCACGTGTGGCTGTGCTTGGCTCGGGCACTTGTACCTAGGTCTGTTTAATTATTAGGTGGGCTCCCCGTGCCCGTGAGTAAATGGCAGGTGCCTGACCTACCTGCTTACGTACCTAGGTACCTAGGTAAGGCAAGGCACCTGAGGTAAGGTGTGGACGATAAGATAAGAGTCCAGGATGGCACTAGAAGCCACACACACACACCCTCCATACGATGACTGAGCATTCGGCAGTCTGGTCATGGAGCTGGAATAACTTGGAGGCAAGTGCTTTGCTTGGATCACATCAATACACAAACGAGTTTCATGAAGCATTTCCATTATTCATCGGGAACCTAAATGAGGCTTTGTCGTGAACTGCAAGATGGCGCACTGAGCCCAAGAATAGTAATAAATGAGGGCTCTAGACGGGAAACCCCGTAAACAACGTAGCTGAGCTCTCCCGCGGGTCGTTTTGGGAGAGGTGGAAAGGGGGCGGGGGGGGGGAAAAAACTGCACACCAGTGTCGGAAAAGCAAAGGCACAGAACTGTGACTCGGCAACAATTCTTCACCACTTTTTAGAAAGTCCGTCAACTGCCACTCAGCATGGCGCCCTCGGTGCAAAATGCCCGCAGGGGTCAGGCTCTGGACGACCTCATCATGGCAGTGAGTCAATATTGAGTTCCATCCCAGCCTACGACTCACCTCGGTTCTTCGGTCCCTTGCTGATCAACGTGTCTTTGGTTTGCTACCTATCAGACAAACAGCAGTTCCATAGTTTCAAAACGGAGTGTTGTAAGTTAGCCAAGCATGTTCTCCCTTCTCTATTCATCAGTCACTCATTTAATCAGGAACGCCTATATTACCCCGACGAGCCGCATTACTTTCGGTTCTTCGTCAAGAAGTTCCAGCGACGAGCTCCTCTTATCAACAGGGGTTATCATTTACGACTGAAGGTCATTGACACGCTCGTCCGCCGTTTTCTCCAGAGGCCTTCGTATCGCAAGAAGGTAGTCGTCAACCTTGGTTGTGGAAGGTAAGTTGAGGATCCTTCTGGATTTGCGTTGCTAGACTTATCCAATACCAAATGTTGGTGGCGCTCACTAAACTCTCATCAGTGATGTCTTGCCGTGGCAGTGCGAGGTGCGCTACCCGGACGCCTGCCGAGATGTCACATTCATCGACGTCGACTATCCAGACCTCATCCAGAAGAAGCGCCGTATTGTTCTCGACACGCCCGAACTGCATGCTCTTCTTGGAACTTGGGAGGTCAACGACAAGTCCCCCATCGTTCTCCAAAGCCAGAAATACTGCCAAATCGCCTGCGATCTTCGACAACTCTCCGCCCTGGAAAATGCTTTATCCAAGCTGTTTGACCTATCCGCAACTGAATTTCTCTTTGTGGCTGAGGTGTCTATTACATACATGGACACGGAGGGTGCTGATTGTGTCATCAATTGGGCTGGTTCCCTTCAACATGGTACTGCACTGTTGAACACTCCCTATCTTCTATGTTTCTAATTACCGATGCAGCCGAATTTTGCTTGCTGGAGCAGATTCTGCCGGACGGACCGGATCATCCTTTCGCTCATACGATGCTCAAGCACTTCAACAAGTTGAATACACCAATCAAGTCTGTTCATCGCTACCCAAGCGTCGCTAGCCAAGAGGCCCGCTTTGAGACATTGGGATGGTCCGCGGCGGAGAGTTGGACGCTTTGGGAGGCTTGGGCCGACGACCTGTTCATGACTTCTGAAGAGAGGCGAGCTCTTGATGTTGTTGAGCCCTTTGATGAGTGGGAGGAGTTCGCTCTCTTCGCTAGTCACTATGTTGTCATCCTTGCCTCAACTTTTGGGTCTGACAACGGCAGACATATCTCTCAAAAGCCAGGGGATTCCACCATTCCATCCTATCAAACGCACATGAACTTGTCCAAGTATGAAGCTAATCGAGGACACCGCCGATTTGGCGCAGCCATGCTCGTCGAGAACCCCAATGGTCAGGTTGTTGTCTCACACATGCAAGGCCAGGGGCCAAATGGAAGGTTGACCTCAGTGGACTTGTACCGAGTCTCGGCTGATCGCCCGCCAGCTTCTTCTTCTTCTCAGAAGGGCCCGTCCGGCAGGGTTTGTCACACACTCACAGATCTAGGAAATGCCGGTGTACTCCTCGTTGGTGGACGTGCTTCTCCGTCAACAGCCTTCAAAGATTGCTGGCTTTACAGAAAAGTATTCAATACCTGGGAACGGGTACAAGACCTTCCGGTCCCCCTATTCCGCCATTCAGTGACTCGGTTGGGAACCTCATCATTGGCATTGCTTGCTGGCGGACGGCCTAATCACACACAGACCTCTGCAGATTATCTACTCTTTAATCCCATCAACGGCTGGACAAGGTGTAAGACACAGGGCTCTCCACCTCCACTTTACGGCGCAACCTTCACGTGTATAAGCAGCATGCTGGGAGAATTTGAGGGAATCATTGCCGGGGGACTACTTGAAGACGGCCTCGTAAACCAGAGAACGTACAGATGGACATTGAAAACTTCAGATCCCGAAGTAAGAGCTTATTCCGATGCCCTTGATTATCAGCTGACCAGCAAATACAGCCTGTTGTTTCATTTGAGATCGTCGATGCACCGATTCAGAGGAACCAGACGAGCTTGTTGTCTAGATTTGGGGCAACAGTCATCAACTCTGGGGAGTACTCCTTTGTGTTTGGTGGCGTAATTAAGGACGTCCAATTGCCTGCGGCATTGGACATGATTATCGTCAAAGAGGTCAATGCCGGACTAGAAATCGTTGCGAGCCTCGATGGATTTGGCGAGTCTGGCAGCCTTCGTCCTTTCTTGATTGGAGCTTCGGTTATTCCTCACGCCGACGGAGAGTTCGCCGTCGTTGGCGGCGGTGCCACTTGCTTTTCGATGGGAACCTACTGGACAAAAGGAAGTTACAACTTCGCTTTCGACACTCAACGACTAGTTTCCGGGCAAAAGAAGCTACCACTTCTAGCTTCCCAGATTGCGCCAGTCGAGTACTCTGAGACTGTCGAAATCACAGCGGACGAGACAAAAGCGAGTACAGAGATTTTGCCGCCGGTTTCTCTCCATTGTCTGCCTCGTATCAAGGTTGAGTCTAAAGATCAGTTCCATACAATCTTAGATGCGGGGAAACCGGTTATCATTGAGTCTGCAAATTTGGGCCCATGCGTATCTGAATGGTCACAGGAATATCTCGTCAAGACCGTCGGCGCAGACCGTGAGGTTCGTACACCGAGTCCTCCACATCCCCGCCGTTTGATCTCCTGGCATCGCTAATATCCTGCTCCTTAGGTCTCAGTTCACGAATCTACGGTCGAAAATATGGATTTCAACGCCAAGAATTTTCGTTACGTTACCAAGAATTTCGGCGAATTCATCAAAGAGATTGGAGAAGGGAAGCGGCTTTACTTGAGAGCTCTGTCGAAGGATGAGCCATCAAATCTTCCTACACAATTGGTCACCGACTATCCGTCCTTGGCAAAGGACTTCATACTCCCCTCCCAACTCGCCTATGTTCAAGACAACACCTTCAGTTCCGTGTTGCGCATCTCTGGCCCGGTCAACATGTGGTTGCACTATGACGTAAGCTCACATCTTCTATGGTTTCTTGCGCGCAAGATCTCTCAAGATAGTGCTGACTCTCTAACAAAGGTCATGGCCAACGTGTACGCACAGGTCAGAGGATCGAAACGTCTCATACTGTTCCCGCCTACAGACGTTAATTACCTCTCCTTTTCCCCAGGTGCGTCAAGCTCCAGCGTGGATGTCTTTTCCGCACTGGGTGCGGGCTCACTGCGCGGCGTACAGCCATACGAGGCCGTCGTGGAGCCAGGCGACATTCTCTTCTTGCCGCCCCTCTGGCTCCATACTGCCGCTCCAACTTCGGACATGAGCGTGGCCGTCAATATATTCTTTCGCAATCTGGAGAAGGGATACTCTTCGGGAAGAGACGTCTATGGCAACCGCGACTTGGCCGCTTACGAAAAGGGGCGCCAGGACGTTTCACGCATCGCAAATAACTTCAGCAAGCTGCCATCAGATGCTCGGGAGTTCTACATGAGGCGCCTTGCAGATGAGCTACTGCAATCAACAATGAACGTGTAGTGCAACGAATGTTTATAGCAGAACCCAGTGTAACCTGTTACTGAGGTCCGCGAACCTTCTGCGTCATCCAGCGGAAAATTCCGAGCACGTCATTTCCAAGTCCTTCATTGTTCTCTCGCGCCCTCTCAAGCCCGCCACGTCTGAAACCTCCAGGGAGGCAGAGCCATAATGCGAGGATGAAGACGAGTATAGCCATAACGATGGGCTGGAGTACTTGAACTCCCTTGCTTTGGGCAATGGCCCCGATGGCAAACGGGAATATTGCTGCACCGCCGCCGCCGAAAGCGGCCGCGAAACCGATCGCGCTCACGTGGTAGTCGTTGGGCAAGAGTTTGGTGGCGGCAACAATAACGGCGGGGAACAGCGGCCCGAGAAAGAAGCCTAAGAAGGTGACAAAAATAATGGAAGCTACGAAGCTAGGCACCGACCAGTAGAGCAACTCCAGGGCCACGGAGAGCACAAGGTAGATGGCAATAGCACGTTTCTCTCCGATTCTTCCTGTGATAAAACCTAGTATCACTCGACCGATCGTCAGTCCAAGCCTATATGAAACCCGGTCAGTGAGATTTCGATAGCAGCAACAGAAAATGGGGCAACGTCTTACCAGAACAGGACCACAGTAACGCCAGCCAAGAAGGGTTCCGCCTGTCTTACACGAAGCATAAATGTGACGAGCCAACCTCCTAGGCTTACCTCAGCTCCAACGTAACCAAGCAGGAAAAGAGCAAGAAGCCAAGTGATTGGTTTCTTCAGAACTGTCCGGGTTGTCGTTCTCCCGCCGTTCGTGGATGGCTGATGAGTTTGTCGATGAACTGCGCCGGTTGCCCCCCAAAACGCCGTCAGTGCCACGGCAAACTCAACGACCGTGACTCCTATCATCACGTAGTAAAAGGCATACCACGGCAATTTCTGACCCTTGGTAACCATAGCAGAGGCAATGAGTGGGCCGATAGTTCCCCCAACCCCGTAAGCGCCATGAGGAATGCCCAAGAGTTCGTTCGCATTTTGCATATTACCAACCCAGGCGTTCCAAGCGCTGTCCTCAAGCCCGTTCCCTAGGCCGGTGAATAATAGAACAACGGGGAGTACAGGGTACGGCGGGTGTAAGGCCAAAGGTATATAGCCAACGATGCGACTCAAGGGGCCTAGCACGGCGACACCACGTTGACCAAAGTGGTTGTGAATCAGGTTGTTAGAAAGCGCGGCAATGACATATCCAACGAATGGCGAGAGAAACAGCAAGGCCACAACGGTGTACGTGACGTTGTAGTAGGTTTCTATCTGGGTAACCCGATCAGTGAGGCTGCATACAAGGGGTCTTGCGGCATGTCCCCGTACTTACATATGGGATTAAGGCCAGTGGTGAATGGCGTTAAGCTTGGTGATAATGCACCGGACGAGAGTTTTGGCAGAGACATACCCCTATTGCCGCATCATTCATCCCCATGATCGTGAAGCTCAGCAGCGTCACGCAGAAGCGGAAAGCATTGGTACGAGTTCCGTTCCACCTTTCTAAAGGGCTCTCAGGGGTTGTTGAAGCCAAACCCTTCTCATGCCCGTCGATGACAACGTCAAGCGGCCGAGCTATCTTTTCGTCCATAACAGGCGACTCGCGCGGGCTATAATGTAGTAGATTTGAGATGATGACGAGGGCAAAGTAGACGAGAGAAGGTGTAGTGTGAACTGCAGCCAGCACAGTATTATTTCGTTTGATAGCAGTATGGCCGGGGCATGGCCCGCAATGACGGCTACGGTACCAGAGCTCTCATCCCGAAGCCGGCATGCCACAGAGAGATGAACCAACGGGCTGCGGGGCCGATACCTGAGCGAAGACATCCAATAACATCGCGGACTTGGGGAAGAGGTGGCGAGAGGATTGAGTATCATTCTACCGAGAAGCGATGTGCAGCCGATATGTAGCCATCTCCACGCCGGCTGGTGCTCACTCTTATTCTCACCGCCGGCCCTTATCAACAACTCATCCAGTAAGTCATGACCGGATTCGGCGTTATTATCTCACTGTGGAACCGGGTGGGCGCGTCGGAGCCGGTGATGACCCGAAAGTGCTGAGTTCCGGTCGGACTAATGTAAGCCGTCCGCAGATGTTAATTCGACGAGGTCCGTAATACAGCAAAGAAATTTGTGTGCGAGTCTGTCCAGTTTTCTTGGGTCTACGCGGCTATGTTTTCTTTAGACTTCCGATAACTAAAGCAATACCATGACCATGATGGTTTAGAGACAACGGTAGGCACAGGCGACCATAACAACGATGTTGACGACGATATCCAGCTACAGCGACGACGAAGAAAACTGCAGTAAAATATGAGTACGCCTACCAAGCACCGTGCGATGTCGTGCCGCAGCTTGTGTGATTACCTATTTAGTACACCCTTGCATGGCAGCAATAGCGCAGTCGGTGGCCAATAGCGGAGCGTCTCACAGGGTCATGCGGCCTTGTGTAGGTGGGATTAAGGTGCTTTTAGCGTCCGGCATTTCCATTCTCCGGCGTGCCCTCTTGCTGCTGCGTCCAACCTTCAGCTTCCAGCCCTCTGCACGTATCTTTGGACGATTTCATGCCCTTTCAATAAATGAACTGGGGTGAGAAGCAACTAAAAAGAAGAAGAAAAATATCAAAAACAATGCACGGCGGATGATTCAATGCGGCTCAACTCAGGACGTGACGGTATTCCAGCCACCAGCATGCCGCAATACGCCGTTATTGACACCGATTTTTATATTGATGCTGATATGGATATGCGGCACGAGGCACGGCCACTCTGATCCCTTGGCCACCTTCCCCTCTTCATCCCGCCTGACCCGTGCTCCCTGCGAAGGTGGCCGAGTGTCATGCACTTGCTTCGGCCATTCTCATCGTGTGACACCATAATTCCTCACAGCTTCCCTAAGCCGTACCGACACACTGGCATCTCCTGGGTACAGCAGGGAACGGCTACCCCGCCCGTTTCTTTCGCCGGAAAAGCCGCAGCTCTACAGTTCTAACAATCCAGCCGCTGTACATCAGTTTCTTTTCTACCTATTTGTACATCTCATATCTGGAAGCAGATAGGCTAAAGTGTGCGATACTGCGACAAAGACGCGCAAGGCTCTAGCTGGGGTATTTCAACGGCTGCCCAGATACCATTCCTTTTTGGGTGACCTCACCTTGCATATGTGGCCTTACCCCCTTCTCTCCTAAAACCACTAAGACTCTTTGACCTTTCTACACATCATCTGCTGTCTTACTTGCCCGAGCTGATGCTGGCTGTGAGCTAGTGTACAAGAAAAACAGACAGGAGGGGGAAGAGGGAGGGAGTGTGTGAGTGAGAGAATGGTGGACGCTAGTGCTTTGGCTACCTAGCCTGCTTACTCGTTCAACTCTGACCTTGGTGTAGAGAAAGCCAACCGAGCCTCAAAGATAGCCTCACTTATTTTTTTTTTGCCTGCGAGACTCGCTCTCAGGCCCTGCAAGTTCAACCCGGGACTGAGTTGATAAAGAAGGCAGAGACCTCCTTTCTCACAAAGATCACGTCTCGGCTGCCCTTCCACCACTCATCCAGACAACCCCTTTCTTCTTCTTCCAAAACCTCAAGTTGGTCGATTCAGTCTGACGCAGATCAATTATCGTCTGACCCTGCAGAAAATCCGACGCCAAGCAGTCAAACCCTTCCGTACGACACGCCGACATCTCCCCTCTGCTCGATCTCAGCCTACTTATGTCTAGGCAGTACGGAGAAGCCCGCGAGGACTTTGTCCGTAATCCAAGCCATCGTCGCGGAGAGCCACCTCCGGTATCCAGAGATCATTCGCCCGAATACTACTCCGGAGGGGGCGGGGATCCTTTGGTTCACTCCAAAGGTCCAGCGCCTGACACCGGTCCTTATGTATCTGGTGCCATCCCCCCCGAAGTAGCCAACGGTGCCGCGCGTTCATATTACGAACTGGACTCACCACTCTCACCTCGCGATACCAATGCTCTGCAACTACCGCAGCCACCGCAATACCGCCCACGTTCCGTCCCCCCAGCAGCTTTCGCCGTATCAAGAGGTCGTCCGCGCCCGCGATCACGCTCCCGCTCCCGTTCCCGTTCTCGCCACCGTCCCCGAACTCCGCTAGGCAAGGCGCGCCATGCTGTCGACCATACGTTCTCGAACTCTTCCTCGGGGATTGGCGTCGGTCTTCTCGGTGCCGTCGTTGGTGGTCTCGCTGCGCGGGAGGTTTCGGATGCGGCTTTGCGCAATCGCACCCGCAAAGAGATAGAGAAGGGAACATATCATCCGCGATCACCACACGACACCGAGAAGGCGCGGGTGATGTCTACGGTTGTCGGTGCTCTTGTCGGCGGGCTTGGAGCTAACGCACTTGAGAGGCGATTCGAATCTGCTCGTGAACGGGATCGTGTACAGCAAGCAGCTTGGGAAAGGAGATGGGGAAGGGACCGAGATCTTCCGCATCACGACACGAGCAGAGAACACGAACGCGATCATGGTAGGGGACGTCCACGTGCCCGACGCCACGATGACTGGGATGATGACTACTACCGCGATTATGACGGCCGCGTCCGGCGCGGTTGAGAACTTAGGATCTTTACCCCCAGAGGAATTGGTTCGTCTTGGTTAACCAATTTCTTGGGACGTTACTTTTCACGACGTAATGCATAATGACGATACTTTCTTTTGCTCTGGAAATGAGACGTTCGCTTGGTTCTCATTTTGTTACAAATTACTGAAAATCACATATCCTCACTAGCCCCCTTTCCGTGTTTCTTCCTTCTTACCGGGTGTAAGTTTTTGAGAAATCTTTGTGCCGCGCCGTCATGCGCTCAATTACGCAGAACTATCCGTACATCGTTTCTTCATTTGTCATAGCCTCAGCGGCTTGTAGTACGTGTTGCCGCCGCGATAATGTGAGGGGAACCATATGATGAAACGTCCATTCTGGCACGTCTTCAGCCATGTCACTTTCCACCTGCTGAGGAAACCGCAGCCCATCATCGCCTGATTTTCTCTTCTCGTACCGCTTCAATGTACTCGTGCAGTTCTTGCCACAAGGACAAGGCTCGAGTGCGCTCCGCCAAACACGTTTAGTTATCGAACCGCAGTGCCTCGGAGTTGACATCGTAGCCATCAGGAATCAAATGAAGCCTACCGTATGGATCCATCCCCTCGGCCAGATCTTTCGAAGGCTCCCACTGTCTGTCTCCCTGCCCGTGGGGCAATGTCTTGGGTGTGTTGTCGCGGGCTAGCTTCTCTCGATAAGCTTGCTCCCTCTCCACGATGACTTTGAAGAATTGGGCTATCTCCGCAATCGCAATTTGCTGGGCTTCGGAGCATCCGATTGTATTGCATAGAGACTGCGAGTCAACCAACTGCTTCGCGATTACGGAATCTGGCTGGCAGAAAGTGCGAATACGGAGGGCTCGGGCGTTGACCTTCATCGCATGAAGAAGGCCTGCGATCTCCAAGTGATTGCCTTGGCGACGTCCAAAGAAGCGGAACTCATCAATATGCAGATGAACAAGATCGAGCTGTGTCTCGAGGTCGTAGCGAAAGCCGACGACTCTGGGACGGCCCTTCTGGTTCCACCCATCTGCGATCTTTTTCAGCTTGTCCGGGTTCAGGCGGCCGTGGTTGAGCTCGTTCGTGATGTAGGAATGGAGGGCATTGCTGATGTGAAACTCGAGCTCGCAGTACAGAAGACTCTGCTCGCGAGGATCCAATGAAATTGTGATTCTCTTGACCTTCCCCTCTCTCTCTACATCTCGGACTTTGCGACTGGGCTTGCTCTCAGTCTATTCACATCTTAGCCAACATGCATACACTTGTAGAAGGCATCGCACTCACCATCTCTTTGGCAATCTTCTTGAGGCTGTCGAGCAGACCCGGCTTCTTGGGAGAGGTGTCCTTCTTCTTGCGGTCCGGAGATTTTTGGTCTGAAGATTCGTTCGGTCTCTCGAGCCATCCTTGCTCTCCAATCAGGGTCTTACCGGCAATCTTCTGCACGGGCAGGTCTTTGTAAGCAAAATAGGGTCTCAGAGGAGAATATAGCTGGCCAGCATCCATTGCAGGCTGTCTGAGGGCCTCAAGTCTACCCTTGGGGGGCGCCTGTCTCTGAGAAGCTACTCCACGACTATCGACATCAGACGCACCAGTAGGGACGGTGGTGGTGTGCGGTTTCGAATTCTTCCAGCCGCTGTATGACTGCAAGACGCTATCGACTTGTTGAGAGGTATTCTTATGGATCCGCAGAGGACTAGGTTGTTCTGCGTCCCTCGAGTAGATTGATGAAGATTCTTCCTCGTCAGGAGTTGCTGGAGACGGGTTGTCTGAGGTTGGGGAAGATGCAGCAACCATGTCGTCACCATGGCCGACAAGAGTAGCGTACTGACGGCGATCCTCAATGTTGATCGGAGTAAGTGTATTCTGTCTACGACGCTCCGCAATGTTTGACGACATAGAACTCTTGGCCTTGTGAGTCTTGTGAGGTGATCGGGGCATCAGCTCCGAGAAAGTCGTGGAATCACTGTCATGACCCTTCTGTGCCATTTGATTAGTCGCCTGGCCGCTCTTAGCATACGCATGTGGCTCCTCCTGGTCGAGTGCTGCATGTGCTCGAGACGTGGCATGGGTGCTGGCGAAGTTGTTGTTACGTTCGGGTGACCCGGTTCTGGCTGTGTTACCAGCCCTGGCGCGACGAGAGGGCGACTCGCTCTTGCTCGCAAATCTAGCGATGTGTCAGTAGGGAGAAAGATATCGCATTGCGACACCTACACGTCTGTTAATCTCTCGACCTGGTTCTCCGTCAAATTCAGATTGATCTGGACAGATTTGTTTGGTTTATGTCGCATAGGCGACGGAGATCCACGCTTCCTCGGTGATACCGGAATGAAGGTGCCCTGGATAGCAGAGGGAATCATCGTGCGGCCCTTCTTCTCCAATTTGTCCGAATTGTGTGTCATGATGGGAAGATTAGTGGATGATGTGGTTGATGTTGTCGACCTCGCGTCTTTTTTGTGTAGTGTGCTGGTTAGAAAAGCCTCAGACCGAGGTCGAGACTCTTTTTGTTTGGTGAGGTTTTCGATCCGCGATCGAAAGGAGTCTTCGCGAAATTGGGAACCGCCCTGTTTGTCAAGCTGCGCAGGCGTCAAAGGCGCCTGTGGGGTGAAAGACCCAGGAAATGGCCCTACAAGTTCGGGATCCTCGAATCGACTGGTTCGAAGGTCTGCAATCCAAGCTTCTATCCGTTCTTGGAAAGATGATGGTTCTGACCAGATAGCTTTAGCAGGGGTCTGAAGCTAGAAAGGGCGTTGTGGACGGGATTTTGCAGACGTGATTTTCTTTCACACCAGATTTTTCGGGGCTGGTGAATATGTCGTTTTGTTTACGTACCTCGCTGTGGAAATACCGTCTCTAGTTCGACGTACTTGCTCACAGTGTTTTCTGCGGACCCCAACGTTTCTTTCAGGGGACCAAGGCCTTGGGTGAATGAGCATGAGTCCGTCCAGGAGTTGCGGAAAGAGCAAGTCGCTGTCACAATAAGCTTCAGCCTCTACGTACCTTCCAAAACTGGCTCGTCTTCCTGGCCGGCGGCACCGTTGTCCCAAAATGACTGTTCGTCACTGTAGTTTGAGCTAGTTCCTATCTCAGGCGATTTCTCATCTAAGCATATTTAGCTACAGTAGGCAGGCATGTACCTCTTCTATGACCTACGGCGAAATCTGCCTGTCTGTATATTTGCACCACCAATGCCTTCTTGAGGTGAACCCTCAGCCTCCTTAAAGCTGTCCTCGGATGGAGAGTGGACCTGAATGCCATGTGCTGCAGGGGTATGACAGTCGCTCACAGGAGCTTGCGGTCTTGGCATGCTGTGTGCTCTTTGAGAACCGGAAGGAACGCGTCCTGATAGTGAACAATCGCTTGGCACGTACGTATAAAATTCGGATAATGATGGTTGGCGGTGTGCTATGTCTCAGGTATCAGCACTTCCTCATGCCTAAGTAAAGATCAGCCGGGAGCGACAAGAAGCACAACTCACCGGACTTAGTAGCTGTCTGATGCGACCACAGGCTCCGAAGGGAAGAAGTTCGAGCGTGAGATATCTTCTCTGATTGGTCACTTGAAGCCATCCCGCTCGACCGGGACGGTCGCCCAACGTCACGGAGGACGGGCTGCTGCTTTGTGAACGTCAGCTCTCGAGCTTTTCCAAGCATCACTCCGGTAGGGAGACGTGAGAATCTCACATCATCGAGAGCACTATGAGATTGAAAGAGGCTCGAGTCGGCGGGTTTTGTCAAACGTGTTGGGCAGCGAAGTTGATCGAGCGATGGAGCATGCCGTAGTTTGTGGGTCTGGACTTCGACGATGCCGACAGGGTGTATCCTTGGATTCTCTGGCACCAGCCATCGACAATCAGGAACACGACGCTTTTCCTCGCCGTTGGCGTAGCCGACCGAGTCCTGCCACTTCTTGGGTCCTTGTCTAGGAGACAAGATAGCATGGAAGGCCGAACGAAAATTTGTTGGCGCTTGGGATTCGTCGACATTAGTGGCAGCCCCGCATTGCCTACGCACCATCCTCCGATGACCCGCGCGATTTGGCTCTGATGTCTTCAAGCTATTCCCATCGGCCATGCTATCGTCCATGGCACCGTCTAGTCCAAACCAATTGTTGCTTGACGGAAAACTGTGCTTCCCTTCGCGTCTGACCGGATCGCTATGCGCAATTCTGGGAAGCCTATCAACCACGGCGCTAACAACTGGAGGACTTGTATTTGGTGAGCCGAGCCCAGATATGGGGGTATCTAGCCCGAACCAATCATGGCCTCGTTGAGACCCTGGTGTTCTGACCGTTGAAGGAGTTTTCATGGCGACATAATGATGAGGGCTCGGAGCTTGGCAGGAAATCGACCGGCCGTTTGTACGGGTTTTGGCAGGCGTGGAATCCATGAAGATCCAACGATAATCAAGCCCACCATCAAAGCCAAGCTGAGGCGTAAACGGACCCCTAAACTCCTAGGATGGATCCATGAAACCCTCCGCCGCAGCTTCCACGAGCACTTTCCTGGCCTTTATGTCTGCCGTTGGCATGAGCTCACTGGATAAAGACGACGGCAAAGGTAATCCGTCAGCTACCAAGGAAAATTTCCGGGCGAAGATGGCGTGCGGTGTCATGCAGCCATCGGGAAGCGGCACCTGCTTTGGCTCGACAAAGTCGCGAATTGTTAGGACGGTATCAAGGCCAAATATGTTGGTAAGCCAGCTGCGGCGTTTGTTGTCTAGCCGCGCTTCGGTACCACTAGGTACGCGGGCAATGTGGTTCTTCCTGAAAGCTCGCAATAGAAGGCCTGCTTTGCTGTTCTTCGAGGCTTTGGCTTGACTTGTATCGGCGTCGACTATGTCATTGCTGTTTCTGTGATCTGACATTGGAAATGAAGCGGTTGTTGGTGTGACCTCCTCCTCTTTGATGAAACGACCAGCTTGGATGGTTCCCATATCCCATTGCATTTCGTGCAGCTCTTTGGGCTTTGGACTGCGAAAGGCACATGTACCACCCTCGCGAGTTGAAACGTACATGGTATGATCAATCATCCAGGCCTTACGACTGCGTATGCAGCTTGGTTCAATTGAGCTGGCGCGAGCCGAGAAACAGTGGTCTGAAAGTCTGATGGGATAGCGGCTTGAATGTTTCTGGCGCCATTCCACAAGTGTAAGGGTCGGACGTATGGACGTAGTGATTGTGGACATGTGTGGTATGTGAGGTAACTCGAGATTGGACTGCATGAGAATTGTCAGCATGAGAGCCACTTGTCCCTGAGCTGTTGACTCACATGTCGGTTAAGATGGTCGTATTTCCAACGCTGGAATTCGGCTCCTGGATCATCGGAATGCTGGCAATCGATTTCGATCAATTCGTACAATACTCCCCCTGCAAGATCCAGATTTTCGTCTCCGAGGTGCTCGCGCAGAACTAGGAAAACCTGCAGATCATGAGTCTGTTAACAATTCGTAACGGCGTTGACTTCGGATTCTGGTGAATTACAAGTTGAACACCGTCGCGATACTGATAGTTGCGAGGGATATGTGCACAATATCTGACAAGGACATTGCGGCATTCTGGGACGATATGAGTATACGGCAACGTACAAGAGCGAGGTCCTGGAGAGATCAGTGGCCCAATGCTTACTTCCCTCGTCGTATCCATTTCGAGACAGGGTATCCTGAGTAAAGGCACTTGTCATGGCCTCCAACCTGTGCCGCCAGTCATCCTCGTCGGGCTCGGACTGCGGCATTGTCGGAGTCGAATCGACCCATGTCTGGAGACTGAGGCGATTTCGCATCTTTCGAGGCCGGCGAGATCTCCGAGAGTGGCCTAGGAAGCTCGGAGAATCTGCAATAAGAAGAATGCCCAGGACGAGGCAAGAGGCCTAGGTAAGCTGCCCGGGTAGGACTCAATTCCAGCCTTAGTAGCGCAGACAACTGCGGGTGCTGTGTTTAGGAGAAGCCCGCAGATGTGGTGTAAGGAGTGACTAGCGCAGAGCGAGTCCGATGTCCACGACATGGTCCGGACTACCTGCCTTAGAATATGTACGTGAACCAGGAAGGGCCGTGGCACTTTATGGTAACCTCCTTTGGGCAAGAGCGCCTCACCGTACCTAGGTAAGGTAGGCAGTCCACTAAACCAGGAAGGTCCACGTGTGTGGGAAAAAGAGCCTTTCCAGACGGGTCTTTCTGACTTGGTGAATCTAGTCTACATAACATTAAGGAGGACTTCTTTAAAAAGGATCATGATAAAACAGACGCTCCAAGTACTGTGCCGATGGTGACACTGGAATTCTTCGGTTGGTCCGGTCACTTGGCAGAAAGTCTTGGTCCGAGATGAGGTTCACCCGGCCAGGTCCAGCCCGGGTAACCGAACCGACCTGGTTTTCAAAAGTTCAAAGCCGGCGCCCCCGAGTAGTCAGATGTCCGATCATGATGACCGGCCGGTTGTCTTGGTTCACTTGACATTTCCGGCGCGCCATCTCATCGGTGGTGCATCCGTAGCTCGAGAGATGGCGTACGTACGTGTACGTGCCTTTCGGCTGGCCATTGTGCCAGGTAGATCCCGTCTCTGGATGAGAGGCTAGCGCGCCCTGGCACCGGCCCAGTGCAAAATCTTCTGCGACGTTGGCGGGGCAAAGACAAAGATACCACAGACGTTGTCAGGAGCCCAGAAAAGTGCGCAATTGGAGGGCTGCTGACCTGAATACGGACTTGGAAGGCTGTTGGTCTGTGGAAAGATAACGGGGACGTATTGGTGGGTGCTCGTGGGTGGCGGCATCGTGAGATGAGTAAGGCAGAGTAAACTGAAGTTGAGGCACCCGGACCACACCTATGGATGTACGGCGGTAAGGGAAGCGACACCGGAGACAGAGACATACATACGTGCTGGTCTACAACCACCCCCCCCCCCCCCCCCCCCCCCCCCCC